TACGAATGGCTGTAGAACAAATCCATTAATAATTTTCTTTGTTTGCAGGGAAGGGTTAAACGCAAAATTTGCATTTCATCAGATGAAGAGAGCGAGGACATTGTCAGCTCTCCACGTATTTATCATAAAATTTCACTTTTATAGATAATTTATATAATATAATCAATTAATTCATTATTTTTTATATTTTCATAGAAAAACCCTCGGCGCAAAAGACAATTCAAGAAACTTCAACGCGTCGAAAAAAAACAAAGAAAAATGATAATGATGAATATAATGATAGCAATTGCGATGAAGATAGCGACGATGCTGGTACTATTTTTTTAAAAAAAATTAAAAGTCGTGATACGATTCAAATGTGTGTATCATTTGATCATTTTTTTCAACCTGTAGCTGTTAGTGACGTGGTCGAGGAGAGCGATTATGAAGATAAAAAGTCTCGTTCTAAAAATATTTCCAAGAAAACTGCGAATAAAGCTCTTGGAAATTTAAACTCCATTCAGAATAAATTAAAGGCTTGTTTCTAAACTTATTTTTTAAAAAAAAAAATTCATAAATTAAATTATTCACATAAAATTAAAATTCATATTAGGCGTTTGCCTCAAATTCCGCTATGCGTCGCGGATCATCGTTTTCTTCGAAAATGCACATGACAGATTCTGAGAAAAAAAAGGTAATCTTTAATTTTTTATATATTATTTCAAATTAAATTTATAACTATTTCGCTAAACAATGGTATTTTTTAAATATTAAGCAACGTGCATCAGATTTTAAGGCCAAGAATGAGGAGCGTTACAGTTGGTTACAAGAAGTCAAGGATGCTGATGGAAATCTAGAAGGTGATATCCTTAATTTCCTATTATAATTTATCTTAATGCATGATTTACAACAAAAATGTTATACAGGATCACCTGACTATGATTCTCGAACATTATTCATACCTCGTTCTGCTTGGAATAAGTTTACACCTTTTGAAAAACAATTCTGGGAAATAAAATCGAAACACTGGGATACAGTAAGTTTTAAGAATAGTGTAAAAGCTTTATTATATTTAAAAATGCTACTATATTAATTTAATTTTTAAATAACATTAGGTGGTTTTCTTCAAGAAAGGAAAATTCTATGGTATGCACGTGGATATGTCTCTAAGTAGTGGTGTAAAATTATTTCGATATATTTATTTACATATAATTCTTCACATTATTATTATTTTAATTTACAGAATTATATGAACGTGATGCGGATATTGGACATAAGGAATTTGACCTTAAGCTTACTGACCGCGTAAACATGCGCATGGTTGGCGTGCCTGAAATGGCTTTTGAATCTTGGGCTGCACAGTTCATTGCCAAAGGGTAAACATTATAATAATAATGAAGTTTATACAAAATAATTAAGATTCATTATTGAAACTTTATATCTTACTATATATAAGACACAAAGTAGCGAAAGTAGATCAGATGGAGACTGCAATCGGAAAAGAAATGCGCGAAAAAGCTAGCAATATAAAGGTATCATTATTTATTTGATTCATTTTGTTCATGGTTAAGTGCTAATTTACAATGTCTTTATACTTGAATTCTTGTATGCACATTATAGGAAGAGAAAATTATTCGACGTGAACTGACGTCTGTTCTTACTGCTGGTACGATTGTCGAAGGTGGATTATTGACCAATGAGATGGCAACATATTGCATGTCGATTAAGGTTTATACATATAAATTTATCATAATTTAATGTCTTACTACCATCGGAGGATTTATTTATCATATAATAATTCGCATATAGGAATCATGTCCTGCGGAAAATGCTCCACCTACTTTTGGGATTTGCTTTGTTGACACCGCAACAGCAGAATTTCATCTCGCGTCGTTTGTCGATGATGTTGATAGAACTCAGTTTGAAACGCTGATTATGCAAGTAAAACCAAAAGAAATAGTATTCGAGAAGGTAAATTGTATCGGTGCTCTCAATAAATTCTTTTTCTTAGCGTTAAAAACTAATGTATGTATAAATACAAATAAACAGGGAATGCTTAGTCAATTATCAAAACGTATCTTGAAAGATTGTACCAATCGTCCAATATGGACTGCACTCAAACCTGAAAGTGAATTCTGGGATGCTAATACAACGAGGAGTCAGCTTAGGATGTCTCGATACTTTTCTAGTAATCAAAATGCATCAATTGCTCAAAATGATGTAGATAATGATGGTGATATAACAATGTTTAATAATGATGAAGGAAACAAAATTGGTGAGTTTATATAATTTATAAAATAATCTATTATAGGCAATTAAACGTTGGTAATAAACTTAATAGAAACATGGCCAAGTGCGGTTCAAGAAGCTTTAAAGGATCCTCTGATGCTATCAGCTTTAGGAGGTATGCATTATTACGTGTTATCAAATTTGATTCAATTTCTCTAAAACTTTTTTTAAAACTTTATTTTAAAACTGCTTATTATAAAGGACTTATTTGGTATCTACGTTCGGTTAGTTATCTGTTCTTTTAATAGTATATTTTTTAATGGTATATTTCAATCATTCAAGAACGATACGTAACATTTAAGATTTAACCTGTTAAAAATAGTTGAAACTTGATACCGAACTTGTTTCTCTCCGAAATTTTCATATCTATGATCCGATATGCCATAATACCTCACTTGTTCTCGATGGACAAACATTAGCAAATCTTGAAGTTTTTGAGAATAGCTTAGACGGAAGTACTCGAGGAACAGTATTCCAGTTATTAAACCACTGTATTACTCCCTTTGGTAAAAACAATCCATTGAACTAAATTATAAAGTTTTGATTTACTTATTTGTAAACTGAGTTTTTATTTTCGGCAATTTAACAGGAAAGCGCGCTTTCAAACAATGGTTATGCCATCCGCTTCGTGACGTTGCTGCTATTGACGCACGTTTAGATGCGATCGATGAATTAAACACCGTTCCTGACTTTCAAGATATGTTCACTGAAAATTTTTCTCATTTTCCCGACCTTGAACGCTTGATAAGCAGAATTCATGCTGGAACGTGTAAGGTGAAAGATTTTTTGCACGTATTAGTTACTTTCGAAAAATTGACGGTAAGGGTTTATAAAATAGTATACAAGTTATATAAAACATAACAACTTATTATAATAACTTATCGTTACAACTTATTATTATTTATATATAGAATACAATTGAGAAGTTGAGTAATTTTGCGAGTGATTTCAAATCGACTAGATTGAGACGGCTATTCGAATCTTTTCCCGACTTGAAACCAATGCTTACCCATTTCAAAGGAGCCTTCGACCATGAAAAGGCATATAAAGAAGGTAATATGCCTTTTTACGCTACATACATTATTATTTATATTATTGCTAACACATTTACATCGTATTTATTAGGCAATCTATTACCATTTCCTGGAATTGAAAGTGATTATGACGAAATTATTGACAGAATGACGGAAATTAACAAAAAGCTTGACGATCATTTAGAAGATGCAAAGGTGCTATTAAAGTAAGGAGAAGAAATCTTTATTTATTCTGTAATGTTATTCGAATTGAATGCAAAACTTGTTTTATTTTTGTGTAGAACCAAATCAATTGTTTATAAAGACCTTGGGAAAGAAATTTTCCAGCTTGAGGTTCCGAATACAATCAAGGTACCGGATAATTGGCAGAAACTATCACGCACGCAGGTGAATATAAGGAAATGATATTGGCGTGTCATAGTGTCATTTTTTAAATTGTATTTTTTTTTTTAATTTGTTTATTTTTTTTTGTACTCCTTAGAAAGTCAATCGTTATTGGAATCCAACTCTCCAAAAACTTGTTAGGGATTTTCAAGAAGTAAAAGAAACACAGTCTAGTATATTGAAATCTATACAAGGCCGCTTTTATCAAAAATTTGATGCACATTATCGTAATTGGCTTCTTGCCGTCAAAATTGTTGGTGAAGTTGATTGTTTGCTTAGTTTGGCTAAAAGTTCAGTGGCATTGGGTGGTAGGTTAATATGTTTGAGATCGATTCGCAATTAATTGTGTATGATCGTTTAGTATTA